ACTGGCTTTATAAGCTTGTTTTAATTTAAAACTGTTACATTATTATCTTCAGATCTGGTCAGATCACACCCACACTAAGGTAAAAATAATAAAATTTGCTTGCTTGTGAAATGAGATGTTTTATTGTTTCTCTTCTGTTGGTAAATCAACAACACAAAGCTTTCTGTTCTATTTTTATAGATTAGGTAATTCACGCTAATATATTATTATTTTTCGTTTATATAAGATTTGCAAAAACGATAAATGATATATTCAGCCTTTATTGTTTTTTTCAGAAATTTGTCCTCTTCTTGATCTAAAAGCAAATGTGACTGACTAAAACAGTTATATTTCTTTCTTTTTTTGTTGTGTTTAAAAGCCAGAATCTTTGAAACATTAGGTCTAATATTTTTAGACAAAAATAAACAGAACATTATCAAAAAAGGGTGATTGTGTAATTTTTGCCTGGGGTTTAGAAGCAGAGGATCCAAATGATGTTTGAGTCAAGCTGCAGATGCTGACTCATCCTGTCACTGACCCCTCACACACAATAAGCCTGTTGTTTTTACACACAGCAGGGCAGGGAAGCACTCCACCAACAAAACTTTTTAAATACAAAGGGGGAATTGTCAAAACTAAAACTGTGTCGGTGTCAAAGCTAAAGTTGTAATTCATGTGGATTTTAAATAAGAAACACCCTTAGCACAGTTCTGAAGGAGAAAAGCTTAATTTGATTARACAGAAAATAGGTTTTGCATTTTGATTTGAAGTGGGAGGATGTGAGTCAGCAACCAGCTGCGTAAGTCTCACCTGTCTGTACGTCAATGACCATTTGATGCCCTCCTCTCATTCCAGGCCTGTTGTCGTCACCGTCACCTGGGGAGGGGTGAGCATGGAGGGAAGATAAGTAKAGAGAGAGTGGAAAGGAGGGGGTACGACAGAGAGGGAAAAGAAAAATGGTATGTCAGAAACAGGWGGAATAAAAGCAGACAACAATAAAAATGTTTGGTCTATGATGCTTTCAGAGCCCGGACACGTTAAAACAAAACGTTAGAAAGAAACCGACTCACTGCTCAAGTCGTCTCGGCTGATTTCCTGGCTGCTTGTACCTTTGTTGCATTTGGGAATGATCTGACTCCACCTAGGCTTGTACTCCTGCTGGCCGATATACTGGTTAAACAAACCATCTAGCAAGAAAAGAGCAGCATTTATTGGACYGAAACGGAAAAAGCAAMTTTGACGGGCAGTTTTATTTGCCAGGAAGACGAAAACAAAAMGATGAAAGAGCTTTACCTCTCACAGCCTTGTCTATGAGCTCTTCACAGGCATCAAAGTCTCCCTGCAGCACCAGTCGGTCATGTAGGTGGGTGAGCATCGGGTGCTCCAGCGCTATCCGGGTCTTTTTCTGCAGCGACTCAAAGGCCTCGGTGTAGTTATGCTGCCGGAAGTGCTTGAGACAAAGCCGGATGGCTTCCTGTTCTCTGTACTGATGGGACAACAGAAAGTGGACGTGTCTCAGTTCAGCTGGATATATCTGTTCAACAATAACACTCTGAAAACAAACTGCACAATGTTAGATTGTAGAGTTGTAGTTTTGGGTAGCTCTGTTCACTCAGGGGCTGTAGGCTGACCAGTGCTCACCCTGCAGATTAGGGGTGTAAGAAAATATCGATACACTGAAATATCGC